TCAGGTACACTAGAAAGGCAATCAGGTACACTAGAAAGGCAATCAGGTACATTAGAAAAGGCAATCAAGTACATTAGAAAGGCAATCAGGTACACTAGAAAGGCAATCAGGTACACTAGAAACTTAGTAGAAAGGCAATCAGGTACACTAGAGTAACTTAGTAGAAAGGCAATCAGGTACACTAGAGTTTGAAGGAGAGACTCATAGGCCCACTTTTGCAACCTAAAAGAAGCCTATGCTTTCCAATCAAAAGGGGGAAGGGGCGGGGGGGGGGGGGGGGGGGGGGGGGGGGGGGGGGGGGGGGGGGGGGGGGGGGGGGGGGGGGGGGGGCGGCCATGGGGGAGGGGACAGAGGGGCGGAGGAAGAGGGGGGAGGCAGGGGGTGAGATAGTTAGACCTATTGACACAGTGGGACAATAGAGAGACTGAACATGACCCTGAGAGCGATCAGCTATAGTCTGTTCTGCATCTCAGAATTTTTATAAGGTGACGAACCAGTGCAAGAAAGCAAATCAGTTTCATGTTGTTCGTATGGGTATCCCATCCAGGTCTTGTTACTAAGCCCGCCGGCTAATAAAAAAAGCGAACAAGTTAGGATCTCCAAGATACTCATAAAGCACTGCTGAATACAGCAGCTCAATCCGGACTTGTAATATCTGAGACGACATCAGTGCAGACACAGGTGACCTCCTCGCCGATCCCCCCTGTTACGCTGCCCACTTATCACACGTTTTGACAGCGTGCCGAATGTGTTCTACTAAATCCGAGCCATTAATTTCATAACAAGCGTCACCGTGTTAGCTTCCAGCCGCTCACCAATCGATGCCTTTGGAGAGGACATGAGAAAACAAACTTCTTTGAAGGAATGAATGAATGAATGAGAGCGAATATCACAAACTTCTTCCATAATGGAATGAATGAAGAAAGGGAGGGTAATATTCACACAGGAGAGGAGGAGGAGGAGGAGGAGGAGGAGGAAGCAGTTCTTGAGCAAATATGACGACCAAACAAAAGTAAGAACAGCAACCAAACAGCATTTTCCTCTTTCATTGCACTGAGAATAACCACAATGCATTGGGTGCCGCATGCAAGGCAAAGTTGGCAAAACCCCATTAGCGTGTAGCAAAGCCAGCACCGGTACACAGAACACCATACTCCTGCTCTAACGGAACATCACCCAGTTGCGCCCAAGTCCCAAGGTCTCCAGGCTCGACCGGGGACCAAGTAGAGAGCCGACCTTTCAGTTGACCACATCATCGCTCACTACGGACAGTCGATACCGTCGACGGAAGCGAAGGTTCTGGCCATACTCACACTGGCACTTTCCTAAATACATCTAACAGCAATTATGGCCGGACTGGCATGAATCTGTCGGCAATCATCCAGAGCCTAGTAGAAAAAAGTCCTACCGTAGTGTGGGTATGCCCTCGGACGACAAGATAGAGAGGCTTATGATCTAACACAGGATCAGCCAATCACACACACAAAAAAGACTCCTTGTAACCTCCCAATCGGGCACAGAGCTCTTGTGCTCATGTGCTTCCATACCAGACACAGAGCCCTTGTACCTCCCAATCGGACACAGAGCCCTCGCATGAGGGTGATTGAAGAGACCACGAACCTACAGTCTTCCCCCGAATACAACGTACGGTCATTATAGCTGAATTTGGGCATCTTTCAGTCTAAATTCACCTAGCATGATCGTACGTTGTATTCGGGGGAAGACTGTAGCATTCAGCGAATCACACAGTTCAATTCTCGTTGTCGGCAACCATTTCCATTACACGGTGACTGGATTCCAAACCGACAAGACTCTAATTCCATCGCTCGCCATCATCCCTCAGCCCCTTCACACAAACGAATCACGCAATCACAGATGATGATGATCATCATGATGATGATGATAGGCAAAGAAACGCTTCATATCGACCAATCAGGTTATTACAGATGACGACGAAGATAGGCGCCGCGATTCTCCTTTCCGTGGGACGCAGTCATATACGCTGTTGAAAGACGCCTAACCAACTTCAGATCGCCCACACGTGTCCAAGGACAAGACCAACTTCTGCTACCCCCAGCCGATCATTCGTCACGCACTGCGCGTCTATCTGCCACCGTCCCTCCTCAAACTGTCGTCCGATTACTCAGTAATCAGTCCTCCCAGCGCAACGACCGTGGTCTCCCGAATACAACGTGGGGTCATGATAGCCGTATTTGGCTAGATGCCGCGAAAATGACCGTACGTTCTATTTGGGTGAAGAAGGTAGTCCTGTGGCCGAGGAGGAATACTACTCGGCCCGATTGTAATACAAAGTGGCAAGCTCGTGCCCCAGGGCGAAACTATAAGTGCAGCTACACTCTAGACTCTAGTAGATCGGCAACCGGCCCTCCGGCCCTACATCACCCTGCAGTTGGGGCGTCAGGACACCTCCAACCGCAGTTTGGTTGGTCGACGACACCGGGTCTCGTAATCCCATGATGCTGATGCGCGGGAGATATCATTTCTTCAGATTCCGATGTCCCTCATCCTCCATCTGAGGCCATCCATCAGGCAGATCTGAATGTGAGCAGGCGGAGCAAAGTGTCGCCCTCACGAACTGTGAGATCCCGAAACACAGCAAGGAAGCCAGGTGCCATGGCACCGCTGCAACACCCTGGTTACTAGAGAGAACGAGAATCCGGTGCTCACATCCTCATGCTCCTTCCTCAGTAAGTGATAGATCGGCAGAGAAAGGATTACAGCTCATCACCCCCCTCACTTCTGTCCTTCGGCTCGCCTTTGCTTCAGGTGCCTCTAAACGTGCGTCATTCAAATAAAGCCATCTCTCTCTCTCTCTCTCTCTCTCTCTCACACACACACACACACACACACACACACACACACACACACACGCACACACACACACACACAGCCCGACGAAACAGTCTGGCACAGTCATGCTTTTCTTGGTGGAGTTGCGTATAGCAAAATATGACGACACACACACACACGCACACGCCCACGCCCATGCACACGCACACACTCTCATGCGTCATTTAAACTCTCTCTCTCTCTCTCTCTCTCTCTCTCTCTCTCTCTCTCTCTCTCACACACACACACACACACACACACACGCACGCACACGGACGCTCGTGCGTTATTTAATCTCTCTCTCTCTCTCTCTCACACACACACACACACA